CCCCAAAACCCCAAAACCCCAAAACCCCAAAACCCCTTTCAAAATGCAAGATATTGAAAATATTCCCAATTTTACTCTGAGTTATCTTTCTTACTCTTTTGCGGTGAGTTTATCACAATTCAGAATATTATGACTCCAGTAATCTTGCCACCAAGGGCCTGGAGGAAATATCAAGGTTTGTAACACCTTAAATGCTAAGAAAAGGGTCTTCTTATTAAGCCCTTCACTAATGAAAAGTATAAAATCTAGGCTAACCGGCAATTAGAGAACTACTACTATGTTTATCTTTTATTCTAAGCACCTTTGTATTTCTCTATAAAGAATCCAGAATACCAAGAGATAAGCCTTTACCTTGTTCTTTTTTACCTTGGCTTGCTTGGTCAAAATAAGTTATATTTCTTGACTATAAATTCAAGCCCTTATCGAATACAGGGGTTAATCCTTATGAGCTTTCTTTGTATATTTTGAAACCTTTGAATACCTTTCTGAGACATTGACATATTACCAAGCACAAAGCTAATTTCCCATATAAATCTAGGACTAATAAGACCTACAGTAGCAAATAATAGTTCTAAAACTACAAGATTTCAGCCAGGTAAAAATTATTAATATTTACAAAGAACAATATGTGTTAATCAGATTTTCCCTCTCTGATTTTACCCGTGAAAAACTGAGGATTAAATATATTCATAAGAATAGAAGGTGTGTTTATGTTAGAGAGCTTGCTAGTGCGATACGTCATGGATTAAACACGAAATGTGTTGGCTACAATTGTTATGAACTGTTTAAATAACTAAGATCAGCCTCATTCTTGATCTACTTAGTTGTTAACAATCTTGTGGGGATATTATCTGCTTATTTTTCGAAGGTTCTGTCATTTGCCTTGCCATTAACCTCGTCTATAAAATAGGAAAATTTTTGATGAACCAGGTAATCTCAGTATGCAGATTTGTAATTACAAAAATTGTGTAAGATAAAAATTTGACAGATAATGACTCAAAAATTTACCACCGAGTGCTTCATCTCATTGTGGGATTCCATTATTCCAATAATCTATAAACAGCTTTTCCCTGGCTTCTTTCTCTACACCTTTCGACTTAAGCGTAGCTTTTATGATGATGATCTTTTGCTTGACTGATTTGAATCAGCCGATCATCATGCATTTAGATTTACGATCCTCCAAGAAATCTAGAATGATATCTCTCGATTTTATATCTGTATGGTCCTTCAGGATGGCTCACTGGAATGCTGAGAAGAAACGGATTTTATTAGTACACCTTCTAGTGCGGGAATCTTTGTATTTATTTTAAGAATTTTCCCAGAACTTTCTCGATAATTGAGATACTGTTGAACTTTGCTATTGCTTCATGTTTTTCTTGGTTCCGCCTCTGGATGTAGAACTTAGTGTCCCTGAACAACTTCACAAGCAGTATGAGCTTGGCCCAGGTCTGGATAGCCTTGGACTTTATTTTAAAATGAATCCTTTCCTTCTTCTTATTTCTCTCTGAAATCTTGGAGGTATTCTTGCTTTCCTACGAGGAATTTAGCCCGCTTGTAAGAGCCTACAGAGGTCTAGATGTAGTCTTACTGCTAACTTCGATATTCTTACGAGAATTTATGAGCATTTTTCGATATTCATAATCAGTCATGTACTTTGGTTTGCTTTTAATGATCTGCTTGTGGATATCATCAGCATTACGAATACTGGTATTATTGATATTTAACACTTACCTATCAATATTTTGATTGGTAGTGAATCTCGTCTGTAAATCTCTTTTCGTCCTTAGCACCTCTATTCGTTCCAAAAAGCGCTCTTTGGTTATATTATTATCAATAATCTCATTTCAGCGATAATTGATAATCTTCTGGACAACTCCAAGCTTTAATTGGCTCTTGAGGTTAATATCAAACTCATTATCAGAATTGACTACAGATCAGGATGAAGTTACTTTCAATTTCAGATTCAGGCTCCTCTACTGTTTCTTTGGGCTTGACCTCTTTAACTTCGTACTTATATCTCTGGACTTCTTCCTGCGGATTATTTCGGGGTCTCTCAGATTCTAGAAATCTGCTGCTTCATGTTTAAGATCTGTGTTTTGGTGTTCTCGATTCTTTGGTCAAGCACGTCAAAGGTGCCGACTCGTTGGGGAGGAATATGGAAGCCTAAAGGTGAGAAAGAAGGTACTTGGCTTGAGCAGTTCTGTTATTTTGAGGTTTTCTACCTCAGTTTGTCTGGTGATAGACTCGACTAGGAGGATTAGAGAGAAGCTTACGAGAGGAGTTTCTTGGAGTTTGAGAGATTTTAGGCAATTTTGAGTGGGGAATTGAAAGTAAATTAAGACCTAAAGAGGCTTTTAACAGAGCTGAGGGGAGAAATAGGGGTTTAAAAGGGGAATTTGGAGAGATTGGGAGGTAGAGCGTCTTACGTTTTTTAGACTTTTTAAAACCTATTTTTGAGTTAGATTTTGGCCTTACTTTTAGAGAGGGTTTTGGGGTTTGAGAAGGTAGTTGAGGGACTTTGGAAGTATTTGTCAATGTTTTGAGAAGATTTGGGAGTTTTTAGATGATCAAAAGTCATTGTGGGCTTTAAACTACTTAAGAAGATTAGCTCCATTACATACCTCGAAGACAAATTTTTGGGTAAGGAGCCAAATTGTCTCTTTCTCCTACCCTTTCTATTCAATCTCTCCTTTTTGCCCTTACCCAGGGTTGCAATTTTCAACCCTGGATTAACAGATCAGAACATTTCCTCAATTTCAGCTCCCACAAAGCAATATTTACTATTCGTAGCCTATAAAGCTCTAAGTTCTTAAGCTTACACTTATTTTTCATCCGACAGATTTATTTTTCTAAATAAAATTTTGAAAACCCTCAATTTTACCTTAATGTTATTCTTAACCTTCCGTGACTTATTCCTCAGTGAACTTTTGTCTAGCCCTGATGTAGCTCAGGCCCTTTGTTGCCCATTAATATGGTGGTGACGTCTCTTATGTAAATTTAAAGCTAGATTACCACAATATTAGGCTTGTGCTTTATCATTTATAGTCCTGTTAATTATTATAAACTATGGGGTTTTGGGGTTTTGGGGTTTTGGGGTTTTGGGG